GATTAATGCCATTGAAGATGATCAAGGTGATAGTGATTGTGATATGGATGCCTGGATCCGTCCATGTATTCCCGGCCAGATGTTGTGCAACTAGACTACTGAAAAAGTCATCCACGTTACTACTGCAGATTAATATTCATTGTTTTGATTATATTCAGTCCTACATTCCGCCTGAGGCGTAGTGACCCAAACTGTGGGGCCCTCTTGTCATTTGCACTTTGTCATAAATAAAGGACGTTTTCGCATTCAAATATGATGATCCCTGTTTTTCCTTTTTCTTGTTTTTTGCATTATATTAAACAGAAAAATGGCAATGTGCTTTGTTTGTTGCATCACATAATAAACATAAACATCTTCATACAGGTCTTTTCCATCAGATACCATCGATTCAAATTCATCTATGGCTTCGTATGACTTTGATAATCCCATTTATCAAGCCAAAGAAGAGACTGGTGAAGACTGTGAACTACCCTAAGAGTTAGTGAGACTTTTCAAACAGGAGGAAAGGGTCATTGTGCCTCATCAGGAGGATATTGAAGTCATCAATCTGGGCACCGATGATAACAAGAAAGAGGTTAGAGTTGGGGCTATATTTGAAGACTGTATCAAGAGAAGATTGGTTGAAATGCTCCGTGAGTATAAGGATATCTTCGCTTGGTCTTACCAAGACATGCATGGGCTAGATACAGATATTGTGGTACACTGGTTGCCTCTCCGAGAAGAATCTCCACCAGTCAAGCAGAAGTTGAGACGGACGACGCCTGACATAGCAGTCAAGATCAAAGAAGAAGTTTAGAAGTAGTTGAATGTTGGTTTTCTTGCTGTCACGAATTACCCTCCGTGGGTCGCTAATATTGTTCCTGTACCTAAGAAAGATGGAAAGGTCAGGATATGTGTTGACTATAGAGATATGAATAGAGAGGGCCCGAAAGACGATTTCCCGCTCCCCCTTATTGATGTGTTGGTTGATAACACCGCTCAATATTGTGTGTTTTCCTTCATGGATGGCTTCTCTGGGTATAACCAAATCAAGATGGCCCCAAAGGACATGGAGAAAACTACTCTCATTACAACGTGGGGAACCTTTTTCTATAAGGTGATACCTTTTGGATTGAAGAATGCTGGGGTAACCTATCAGCGGGCAATGGTGACTCTTTCATGATATGATTCATCATGAGATCGAGGTATTTGTTGATGACATGATTGCAAAGTCACAGATGGAAGAGTGATATCTGGTCAATCTTCTGAAATTGTTTGAAAGGTTAAGGAAGTTCAAGCTGAGGCTGAATCCTAACAAGTGCACCTTCGGGGTGAGATCTCAAAAGCTACTGGGGTTCATTGTCAGTGAAAATGGTATTAAGGTAGACCCTGCCAAAATAAAAGCTATACAAGAAATGCCTGAGCCGAGGACAGAAAAAGTGGTTTGTGGTTTTATGGGGAGATTGAACTACATTGTAAGGTTCATATCTCATCTTACAACCACTTGTGAACCAATATTTAAATTGTTAAGAAAAGATCAAAAGATCAGGTGGAATGAAAATTGCCAAAATGCGTTTTAAAGAATAAAAGAGTATCTGCAGGAACCTCCAAAACTCATGCCTCTAGTTGCAGGGAAACCGCTGATCATGTATCTCACGGTTCTTGAGAATTCAATGGGATGTGTACTCGGTCAATAAGACGAGTCAGGTAGAAAAGAGCATCCCATATACTACCTGAGTAAGAAGTTCACTGATTGTGAGTCGAGATACTCAATGCTGGAAAAAACATGTTGTGCACTTGCTTAGGCTGCTAAGAGTTTAAGACAGTACATGTTAAACCACACAAACCTGTTGATTTCGAAGATGGATCCGATCAAGCATGTCTTTAAAAAACAAGCACTCTCCGGAAGGATTTCCCGATGGCAAATGGTTTTAACAGAGTATGATATTCAGTATGTTTCCCAGAAACCCATAAAGGGAAGAATTCTGTTAGAATATCTCGCTGAGCAGCCGAGTGAGGATTATCAGCCGATAAAGTTTAAGTTTCCAGACGAAGACGTCATGTTTTTGAAGATGAAAGACTGCGATGAGCCTTTACCTGACGAGGGTCCTGAGATTGGATCTCAGTGGAAACTGATTTTCGACGGAGTCGTTAATTCATATGGTAATGTAATCGATTCAATCATTACAACTCCTCACAGTTCTCACATACCATTCACTTCCCGATTGACATTCACCTGCACCAATAATGAACCCTAGTATGAAGCGTGCATTATGGATTTAGAAGAGGCTATTGATTTGAGGATTAAGAATCTAGATGTGTATGGAGATTCAATGCTGGTCGTCAATCAAATCAAAGGAGAGTGGGAAACTTGTCAGGTCAACCTGGTGCCTTACAAGAATTATGCAAGGATATTGTTGCCTTTCTTTGATAGAGTTGAGTTTCATCATGTGCCTATGGCTGAGAATCAGATGGCGGACGCTTTGGCCACATTATGATTGATGTACAAAGTGAATTTTTGGAATGAAGCTCCCTCCAGCTATCACCATCATCCGTCTTGATAGACCCACCTTTGTGTTTGTAATTGAGAAGGTATCAGATGGAAAGCCTTGGTTTTTTGATATCAAGCATTTTCTCAAAACTCAAGAGTATCCATCTGGGGCATCCAGCAAATATAAGAAGACTATGAGGAGGTTAGCCAGTAATTTCTATCTGAACAAAGATGATGTGCTATATAGGAAAAACTTTGACATGGTCTTGCAGCGTTGTGTTGACGAATATGAAGCAGGCCTGTTGATGGAGGAAGTCCACAAGGGTTCTTTTGGTACTCATGCCAGTGGACATGCAATGGCCAGAAAATTGCTGAGAGCTGGGTGTTATTGGATGACTATGGAATCAGATTGCTTCAAATACGTTAGAAAATGCCATAAATGTCAGATTTATGCTAATAAGGTGCATGTGCCACCGACCCCTCTGAATGTGTTAACATCTCCTTGGCCCTTTGCTATGTAGGGCATTGATATGATTGGAAAGATTGAGCCGACTGCTTCCAATGGCCATCACTTCATTTCGGGTGCGATCGATTAATTTACGAAATGGGGATAAGTCGCTTCCTTTGCCAATGTCATGAAGCAGGTGGTCACCCAATTCATAAAGAAGGACATCATTTGTCGTTATGGAATTTAGGAGAGAAACATTACTGATAATGATTCAAATTTGAATAACAAGATGATGAAGGAACAGTGCCAGAGTTTCAAGATAGAGAATCACAACTCTTCTCAATATCGTCAGAAGATGAATGGCGTTGTTGAGGCAGCTAACAAGAATATCAAGAAGATTGTGAAGAAGATGGTGGTAACCTATAAGGATTGGCACGAGATGTTTCCCTTTTTTATTCACGGTTGTCGTACTTCAGTGTGTAGGTCAATCGGGGCAACTCTTTTCTCACTGGTTTATGGTACAAAAGCAGTCCTACCATTAAAATTGAGATTCCTTCTTCGAGGGTATTATCTGACATGAAGCTTGACGAAGCTGAATGGGTGCAAACTAGATTGAATCAGTTGAGCCTGGTTGAGATAAGAGATTGGAAGCCATTGCTCATGGCCGGTTGTACCAGAGTAGGATGAAGAAAGCCTTTGATCAGAAAATGCGTCCTCAGTGCTTCCAGACAGGTGATTTGGTGTTGAAAAGGATCCTTCCTCCTTAGACAGATCACATGGGCAAATGGACTACAAACTATGAAGGTCCATATGTGGGAAGAAAGGTTTTCTTTGGGGGAGCCTTATTACTATCAATCATTGTTGCACCCCAAAATTTGCCCTCACTTTTTCTAACTTTGGCTGGTTTTTGCTTCGCACTCATATGCATTTGCATTAGGTCATAGTTCGTGATCATATTTTGCATTGGTTTTTTTTAAGACACGGGATCAAGAGTTTTCTTTGAATCAAATCATCGAGTTTCATGCCATTTAGACACGTGCCCACCCCTGATTGGTCGTTTTTTCAAATCTTTATTATGTTTCCCAATGGGAGCGTGACACGTGGCCTAAGGATGTTATTTTTTTGAAATATTAATTCCATTTTTAGTTTTTAACCTTTTTTCTTTTCAAAGCATTAATATTTTGTACATATATTATTTTTGTTTGTTAATAACATAATAGTAAGATAGAATTAGAATTTAGATAAATCTTAGATTTAGAGTTTAATTTAGTAAAATAGAATTAGATTTTTAGTTTTAGAAAGTTAATTTAGAAATTAGAAATAGTATTTAGATTTTTAGTTAACTAGATTTTAGAAATTAGAATTAGTCTAGAATATAGATTTTAAATAGAATTAGATTTTTCAATTAGGAATTAGATTTTTTATTTAGAATTATTTTATTAGAACTTTATTAGGATTTAATTAGATTTAGAATTTTTAATTAGAATTAATTGAAATTAGTTTAGAAAATAGACTTAATTAGAATTTTATTTTTTATTAGAAATTTAAATAGAATTAGCATAAAATTAGATTAATTAGAATTAGGAATGGATTTTAATTAGAATATAAATAGGTTTTTAAATTAGAATTAGAATTTTTATAGGATTTTGATTAGTTTTTTAATTGGAATTAGATTAGAATTAGAATTTTAATTTTTAGAAATTAGAGATTTTATTTAGATTAGAATTAATTAGTTTTTAATTAAGAATTGAATTAGATATAGGATGGAATTAGATTTTTACTTTTTAATTGATTAAATAGGATTAGAAATAAGATTAAGTTTCAGCATTTAGAATTAAAAAGAAAATAAAATTTTAAAAAAAGAAAAACACTTTTGGAGGGGATATAAGAGCAGGTTCCTGTTCATTGTCTTCATTTTTTGGAACCCTAGCCGCCGCGAAAACTGAATCTCCAAACGCAATCTGTTCTCTTCCTCCCTTTCCACCGCGAGCCTCCCTTCATTCTCGAAACACATTCTGCCCTTCAACCTTCTTCTTCCACGGGATTCTCCCTTTCCGTTAAAAGAACCAAAACCGCTACCACATGTTCTTTAACCCTAAAAACCTATTTCCTAAACACCTTTTCCATTCCAAGAAGGAAAAATCATCTGTATCAAGATCCGACCCGCTTTCCTTCGGGTCATCTTCTTCCTCTGACGAATCCACTCACAAAGTCGTTACCGGAGGATCTCAAACGCCCACTAGCGTCCTGCCCGAAGCATCATCCAGCTTGTCGTCCGATGTCACTATCGAAGTTCAATGGGAACTTGCTCAGGCTTTCTGGTTAATCGACCGCAACAACAACAATGACAACATCGTTCAAGCAACGACATTGTTTCTCGATTTTGTACCACCTCTGTTTCATAGCAACAACAATGATCTCAGCACGACAACAACATAACTAGTTTCGCATCAACTAGCGCATCACGGTTCAAATCAAGATTTTATCTGAAGATTTGATGCGAAGAATAATTTGTCACTGGTGGGAGTAGATTATGTCGCCTGCACGAAAGTTACGAACATGGTTATTCCGCTGATTCCGGTTTGATTTCGGTTTCTGTCGTGTAGCCGATTTAAATCGCACTGTTATGTTTTTTCTTCTTTTCGATTCAATTTCTGCAACAAATAAGATGCTATGTTGCTGTCATATTTGTTTCGTTTTGTTGGCTGACTAATATATCAAGGAAAAGCTGCCGAACTCAGCAAGGATAACTTCGGTTTCAAAGTATTAGAATTTCATGATGATAAAATCCAGTGAGGGACAAGCTATGGCTACTGCGATAGATTCAACATGATGGTTGCTGCTGCAACAGATCCATCGTTACCGTAATGCTTGCAAACATACGGTGCCGTCAAACGACAAAGACAACAAGTCCAACAATAACATCTTTCACTATACGGTGTTGGTCATTTTCGAATTATTTTGACAGATTTTGTTAAGTTATACTTGTTTTTTTCGTTGCATGAGTTTTCTGGTGATTCGATCGGGTAGCATTTCAACGTGTATTTATGAACTGATAGGGTGATTTCAAAGTATTCCAATTTATGTGATAACTATGTAGCAGTAAATATAGAATATTAGAATGGATAGGTTTTTGCATTAAGAAATTTTCATTAAATTGACAGGATAGTGTTAACACTTGGAATGATACATTGATGTTTATAATACTTTTCTAGAATTAGTTTTTTTAAATTAATATAGAATTTAATTAATTTATATTTATTTTGAGCTAGGTTAATTAGGTTTAGGTGTTAGAATTTAGTTTTATTTTTAGCATTAAATTTTAATTTTGGATTTAACTTTGACTATTTCTTTTCTCGGTTTTGATTTTCATTTCGAGTGCGTTTGTGAACACTGCTCCACTTCACCTTCACATCTTTTTCAAAACTTCTTTTTTTCAAACTTTTTTTCTCAATAAAACTTGAATGGTCGTGGAGTGGTTAGACGTAGGCCTTCTCCTACCCCGAGTTCTTGACATTACCGTTAGGGTTCACTTTCCTAAAGCACTTACCGTTCAAGATCAAAAACATTTTTAATAAGAGGATGAAGTTCTCTTTGTATTGAGCTAAAGAGAGGGGATTGAGTGTAGGCTTCTTCCCCTCCGAGTCTCAGAATACTTACTGTAGAGTGTGTGGTCTCGATACTTGTCTTTCAATATGAAGACGTGATTGTATTCACCACTTTTTCTTTTAATAACTTTTTCTCCTAAAACCTCGGTCCCGTACCAAGTGCATTTTCAACCTCTTTTCTCAATAAAACCTGAATGGTCTTAGAGTGGTTAGGCGTAGGCCTTCTTCTATCCTGAGTGCTTGACATTACCGTTAGGGTTCACTGTCGCAAAACACTTACCATTAAAGATAAAGAAAGCATCCTTTAATAAGAGAATGAAGTTTTCTTTATATTGAATTAAAGATAGAGGATTGAGTGTAGACTTCTTCCTCTCTGAGTGTCAGGATACTCATTGTAGAGTGTATAGTCTCGATACTCGTCTTTCAAAATGAAGATGCAATTGCATTCGCCACAACTTTTCAAAACAAAACTTTGAGATAAAGAATTAGGTACTACCTGCAAGGGGTTACTATCCGATGACATATTTCACCCCTAAAAATAACCTCACAAATCAAGTGCGACATCTTGCCTCGATAGGCAAAAACTCTCTTTTCAAAAAGGATATGTTACGTCTGTTCTACCGCAAACAGGTAACACGTAAGTCTCTAACGAGCGAGCAGTAATACGCCTAAACTGCTAGAATGCGTACGATAGCATCATCCATAAAAACACCGGTTAACGTTATCACGAACTACGTTGCTCTGATTTCTCATGCCAGATGGGAATACGTAGGCACAAGACGGCGATGTCTTGGCAAGCACACCCCTTTTTCCTTTACCCATAGTAGGCCTAACTACGGCTGCTCTGATTCTTTACCTCTTTTAAGTAAATATATGTAGGCACAAAGGCCACAATCCTTGCCGAGCATATCCCCCTCTTTTATCCGTAGTCCCCCGAACTACGTCGACTCTGACTTTCTCATATCTGTTGAGAATACATAGGCCTAGGACCGCGAAGACCTACCGAGTCTCTTTTCTTCCCCTTATCCCTCTTTCCCCTGTTTCTAACCTCTCTTGGAACACTCTTATAGCAATACCTTTTAGCAGATATCATCACACATAGACAAACAAATTGTTCCCATCGAGTACGATGGATGCGAGGGGTTCTAATACCTTCCCTTTGCATAACCGACTTCCGAACCCGTTCTTTGGTCGCGAAACCATCTTATCTGTTTCTTTCTTGGGGTTTTCTCAATGTCTTCCCTTCCCCTAATGGGATAAATAAAGTTCGATGGCGACTCTTCTATCTTTCATTCTCGCCTCCCTATTGTTGCACGATATTTTTTCGAGTAGCGACAGCTGGCAACTCTGCTGGGGTAACCTAGCAAGCCAAGCCTAGTTTATTTGTCGCATTTATGTTTTATTTGCTTTTATTGATTATTATGTTGTGTTCCTTTTACCTGTTGGGTTTATTGGGGATGGTTTGTGAGGATAAAAGCTTCATATCCGAGATTTCTATTATAAACTAAGATTAGGAGGTGGTTTCTTTCTGATTTGCGAGACTTAGGACTCGTTGAGTTGATTTGAATTCCACCACTCAGATGAGACCCCTTTGGGATGATTATGTCTTACGAGTAGCCGTAATGGCGTCTTTATTTCCGACCTTGGAGTCCGTGACTCTGAGGGCCTGCTGTAGAACCTTATTTCGAAGGTTACTAAGACATAACTCTATGTTCATCCTTTAAAGGGATTACCATCTTACGAATTATCGTTATGATGGAAAACGTTTGAGGGATAGTGCATAAGACTTTGTTTAAAGCCTTTGGGATACCCTCTTATAATACCAGTAGATTACCCACCCGAGGTGAGAGATATCTCATTGTGTTTATCTTGCAGATATGTAACCCTGATCCCGTGTCTGTTGCATTTCATATTGCATTGCATTTGCATAAGCATCTCTGCATCATTTTGCATTTTCTTCCCTAAATGGGATACCAAGAGCTTACCCATCCCCTTTTCATAACCCGCAGTTGATTTCTCGACACTCCCGTTGAACTTGTGAGAGTTGTGAAGCATTTGAAGCAAGAGGAGCATAGACGCCTTGAAAGGCCAGTTAGATGAAGCCAGCTGAGGTAGCTATGTCAGAGAATAACTGCCAGAATGTTGATCCCCCACCAGGATTTACTGTGATGACTGTTGCACCCCAAAATTTGCCCAACCTTTTCTAACCTAGGTTTATGTTTCAATTGCATAATCATTTGTATTAGTATCATGTACATAGTGTATTCATCTGCATTACATTGCATAGGCAAGCTATCTTAATCAGGGGATCAAGTGCTATTCTTATCTCAAGAGGCATATTCAAGGATTTCATTCATATTCAAGACTAATCAGGTCATCAGGGAAGAATTTGAGCTTTGAAGTGTTGACAGGTTGATCAGTGAGTCTCTCCTATCTTGAGGTTGTTTGGGGGTCATCAGAGGAAGTGTGAGCTGTGAGCCAAGGGCATGAGGTGTGTATGGATGTTACAAAGAGCCTAGATGATCATTTTTGAAGAAGAACCAAGTCATTGGGATGATTGCAAGAGCCTCAGTTGAAGTCAGTCAACTATGGTTTTATCTGGGTCAACACTAGGTCAATCCTAGGTCAAAGAAGTGTTTGAAGGGCATCAAGGAGCATTTGAAGAATGTGGGATTCATTATTTGATATATGGATATGGATATGATGTTGTGCTAAAGAAAAATCAAGAGGAGTCAAGGAGAAGAGGAGTTACCAAATTAGGGTTTCAGTGTAAAATCCCCTGATTTAGGTCAAACTTCAAAGCAGTGTAACTCAAGATGCAAGCTTCATATGAATTCTTGGTCCACATGAAACTTGTAGAGTATCTTAATAGATTTAATTTGAGTGGTGGAAGTCATCAAGATGATTTATATAACTCAAGTTATAGCTCTTGCAAGTTACAGGTCATCTGAGGACACTGAAATTTGTCTGTGAAAGTTGTCTGTCTTCCAAGCAACTTTTGACCTTCAAGGACATTTCAAATGGATTTCTGGCCAACATGATAGTTGTTCCTTATTGTCTTAGATTTCTAGAAAGGTATGGTATGCCTTCATATTATTTGTGGAACTCTACTTATGGTCTTGGCAAGAAAAGGGTATTTTGGTCATCTGAGGATTATAGGTCATTCTTAGCCTATGCCTAAAACTCATACAAGGAAGCTTCAAATGAAAAACTTCACAACATCAAAGTTGCTCAAAATGCCATTTTAAGTCAATATAAGAAGTCATGGAAGTTTGGAAATGCATGGATCAAGACTTGACCAAAGTTGGTGAAAAATGACCTAAAAAAGGCATATAAGTTGAAAAAGTTGAAATGAAAAATTGGTTTGAGAGATCCAAAAATCCAAAATGGGTCATCCAATATACCAAATTGATTCCAAACAATATTTTGAAGACATTGGTTCAGCCACTTTTTTGAGTTAGGGTTTAAAAATGGGACTTGCTTTGTATTTTTGTTACTTGCATAATAAGGCAAGTATGGAAAACTTGGCATAAGTGAAATTTCAAGGCAAGGAGATTGGTTTTTTCACACATACCATTTCAATAACTCATGATAGGAGATTTTGACACAAATATTAAAGGGTGTATGCACAAGATTTGAGATGTTTCAAAGTATCATCACATGAGAACTTGCATGAACTTTCCACCACATTCTACACTTTCCTAGATCAATCTAGAAACTTCTAGATCTGTCCATCATCATCTATATAATGAACTGAATCCATTGGTGCAAAGGGTTGGTGAAAAGAGTGTGAAGAGAGAGTGTTATACCATTTTCTCCATTTTTGCAAAT